ACCAGCCACGTGGCAAGGTATAGATTTATAAAAATGGGTTAATTTAAGATAAAAGAAGAGTTAGCAAGAAGCCTGCCACAGCCATACAGTTTATAAGTGGTATAAGCGTCTGAGTGATTATTTTATACGTGGATTGTGGGACTGCGGGGCTTGGGGAACCTGGAGAGAAGCCCTCCAGCAACACAAACTTTTATAGTCAGTTCCATCTTCAAGCTTTGCCATTTGAAATGCAACATAATAAATGACACTTCACATGCTTCATGCTATTAGAACTGCTATAGGCATCTGCAGACCACTATACAGGAATGCAGTCCAAAACAGTAAAGGCTATCGACAATACTTAAGGAGAAAGTTTTGAAACACAGTATATCAGTAGTTGTCATTTATCATTAAACATAATCTGTTCCTACTATACTACCCCCACCCACAAGGCCTTCCTTTGGGCCTTTGTCTCATACCTCTAAAGGAACTACCCATGGAAGAGTAGTTTTCACACTGATTTTCTTCTGTAATTTCATGTTCCTGGGGATAATATAGTGGAGTATTCTGGTCTGAAAATGGATTCCCAAAACCCAAAACTGTTTGGCTTTTGTTTCTCATGTGTTGGCTTGCTTTGTAATGGGGCCTCATTTTGTAAGTCAGACTTACTTTGAACTTAGGGCCCCTGGCCTCAGCCTTCCAAGTAGCAATGACTGTCCTGTGACAGAACACCAGCTCAAACGTTCTTAATTCTACCATTTTTTTCAGAGGAGGGGTAGAGAAAGAAATGATATATGTTTGGAGAGAAGAATAAGTTTCAGGAGGCCCTTCTTCAGAAATTTTGGAAAGAAATGACATGGTAACTGACCATGAATGCTAAGTACAAAAGCATTAGCCAGAAAACCAGGAAAACAAAGGCTAAAATAGTACCTAACATAAGACTGCTTCTTGAACAATATCTCATCATTTGCTACATTCGAATAAACCATTAGAGACTTTGAAAAGATATTTTGGAAACATCTTAGTTATTAAGTATCAATTTCCATGCTTGTCTTCTTTGGCCAAGGGAAACACTCAGAATTTGGTGAGAGCCCAGAGCTCATAGAATTCTTCCTGCCAGAACAGATAATTCTCTTCCTTTTGTCTCCAAATCTGAATGACCTCTTAATCTAGGCCATCACTACTCTCCTCTCACGGTTCACTCTCATGAAAACATCTGTCCCCTCTTGCTATTGCATTTGGCTTCCTTCTATATTTGCCATGCTCACCAACAAAACGAAAACTTCCAATTCTTGTAGGAAGACATTCAAAATTGAAGCTCTGTTTCTAAATTAAAACTGTCTAAAAAGGTTGCTTTCTGATGGTCACTATGGAGATTTTATTGTCAAGATTTCCCATTAATATTCTTTAATCACATCTTAGTTCAGGCTAAATTTTTAAAGGCTGAGAACGTGGTTCAGTGGGCAAATGCACTTGCTGTGCAAGCATGATGACCTGAGTTCAAATCCCCAGAACTCATGAAAACTGGATCCATAGTGTGAATCCCTGAGCTCCTAGAGGGAGATGAGAGGCAGAGACAGGAGAATCCCTGGAAACTTCTGGGTCAACTAACCTTGTGTACATAGCAGAGGAGTAACAGAGACTCTGAAAGTTGAAGGCAACTGACCTCTGGCCTTCAAATCCATGCACACAGGTACACGTGCACTCATAGTATCCAGTTACAAACATCATTGCACAAACACACACATATGCAACATAGTACACATACATACAAAAAGCTCCATAAATTTGTCAACTGACAAATAAGTATACCTTAATACATCATTATTTAATATTGCAAAACAGAATTCATAATTTTCAAAGCAAAACAAGGAGAATGATAATATTATAGAAATTACCTCATCTGATCCTTTCTTTTCTCCTGACTTGGAAGATGGTCCAGTATTCTTTTCATTAACATGCTAAAAGTAAAAATTAAAAATAAAAAACAATTGCATCTTTAATTCAGAAAGGTTATCTATACAAACAACAACAAACAAATAAGCACCCCTTTCATGTTGCCCTAGAGAATATTGGGAATTCTCCATTAGCTGGAGCCTCTTAAAATCAAAGGATCATACAGATATTCGTTTAGGAGCCAGGAAATCAGTCTATAATTAACCATGTGCAAAGCTGATGGTAATGCCACTTTGGCATTTAATCCCCTATAAAGTACCTCATGGACTTCTAAAGCACAAATTGCTGGTAGGGGAGATGTCTTGCTCATCGTTGAGATGAGATCTTTTAAGGACCATGTTGTGTGTAAAGACATACTTAAGCAACAGTTCAGCATGGGCACAAGAAAATAGTATATGATAAGGACAAAGGTCTACAACAACCTTCTAGATCACACATCAGCTCTGAATTTGACGGGAGCCATAAGCCTAAGCGACCCTTGACACACATGCTGCCATATTTGGGTTTCTCTCCTCTTTTCTTAGATCTAGGCCTTGCTTAAGTCTCCATAGCACCAGAACCTCTTCTCACAGATACCAGAACCTCTTCTCAGATATCAGGTGAATGAGCTGCAGCTAAGCAATTAGGCAGTTAGACAAGGGTAGATAGATAACCTTCAGAGCAACATTTCCTGCTGGCCAAACAGCCCATAATTAAGTCCCTGCCTGCTTGCAACCCCCTTTGCCTACCTATATATGCCTTGAGAGAAAAATAAAAATTTGCAGCTTGATCAGACATCCTGTCTTGCTCTCATTCTTTGTGTCTCTTGTCCCTCTCATTCGCCGGCCCTCCCTTTAGGTTCCTGTTGAGGACCCCGCTGGCCAGGGCATGAATTCTCTCGGAGTTCTTCCAGAATATTTACCAACATAAAATGATAAAATGTGAAGGAAAGACCATGCATGTAACTGCTCCTATTTATGCTTTTAAATTTTAATTATATCCATAAATAGAATAATCATTATTTTCCTATACAATAAAGATAGATATAAGTATTTTTTATGAGGAACAAAGAGCTTCAAAAAGTTCAAATACTCATTTGTTTTGACAATAAGGTAAAATAAGTCAATATATTCACTCTCTATTGATTATCTTTTTAAGAAAAAAACTATTTGCATGTTCCTTGGAAGAGGAAACAAAGTATTATTTAATTTCTTTCATACTGTGAGAAGTGCTAGATACTGGAAAAAATAAGACAAGGGAGTCAAATGTGAGAAAAATGACAGTTCTCTCTTGCTTTCAATCCTGATCATCCTTATTGAAACCAAATTATAGGAGGTAGAGATGGCTCCATGGTTAAGAGCACAGGCTACTCTTCCAGAGTACCTGGGTTTGGATTCCAGTATCCTCATGGTAGCTTATAACCATCTGTAACTCCAGTTCCAGGGCAAAGCCCTCTTCTGTCCTCCATGGGCACTAGGCTTGTACATGATGCATAGACATACAGGCTAAACACTTATACACTTAAAACAATACAATAAAAAATAACCCAAATTTAAAAGGAATATTGTATTTTCTATGACAGAATCATAACATGGATATGTAGACAGAAATTATAAGAAGAGTAATAATAATTATTTGTATTATCCACAATTTATTTTATGCCTTCTTATATGATATTGAAAAATGAGCTGTGTGGTTTTATGAATGAGAAATTAAGCATATTAAGAAATCTGGTGTTTTGGGGACACATAACTAGTAAATGTGAAACAGTCACAAGGCAAGTTTTTACTTCAAGTCTGTTGTTTCCCACTTTACCATGCTAGATGAAATTGGGTGATAGCAACCTTAGCCATAGATATATTAAAAGGAAAATGAAATGGCCACGATATAAGAACTCACTCATGTCAAGAATACTTCCTGCAAACTTTATCCCCTATAGAAGCACTTGCAGAGATAAGTGAATAACTGAAGTGAGCCATATTGAAACAATTTGATGAAAAGAATTCCCTGCAGGGTTTATTATTGCTCTGTGGATATCCTATCTAGATCTAAAAGTGAGAGCTATCAGCAATGAGCAATTGATGAATCTTGAAAAAAATCAAAAACAAAATGAAGCAAACAAACAACAGGACCTAAGAGCCTGTGCATAACCCAAGTGTGACAATGTGGACTCACTGGAGCCTAAGGTGGAGGGGTCCCTTGATCCCAGAAACTTGAAACCAGCCTAGGCAACATGTTGAGACTGGGTCTCAATAAACAAACAGGTAAGTAAATAATAAGCAGTTCCACAAGGCCACATGTACACTAAAACTATATACCAAGTTATAATTGGTGAACACAGAAACAACACTAAGGGCTAGAGACTAATGTTCTCAAATCAGGAAGCCGTCAGTTTGAGGTTAGCTCTGTAGGATATTCTTGCATAAGCTCCTGAAACAGAAGCTGGATGCTGTATTTGTAATGGACTATATAAAAATAATCCAGCCACCTCAGATGATTACAAACAGCCAGCTAGATGATTAGCTACAAAACTAGAGGCCTCCTAAGAGATCAAAACCCAAATAAGGCAAATCCAGTAATTTCTTTATCTGTGTTCAGCCTGTGAAAGCATCCATCATTCCTGCTGCTGAAACCTAGCTCTCTCAATGTTTAGGTTTTAACGTTGCCCTATTCATGAACTCAGAAAAACTCACTTAAATTTATTTTGTCTGAACTCTTTCACATCTCTAAAAGAGCCATTCAGTTTGAAGATAGTATTCGATAGGGTCAAATCTACAAAACCACTCAATCTATCTCCTCACAGACTCAGTAACTTCAGAACCAGGACAGCATATTCACTCATTTGTAACCATATAGCCTTTTCAGTAAAGTAACAATACACAGGGTTTCATTGGTTGTTCACAGCTTTGAGTGTTTTGTTTTGTTGCCAGTATGACATTCCATTCTACAGGTGGGACAGTCTAAGTTGCTCTTTCCAGTACAAATCTTCCCTCTCCACAGGACCTCACTCTGCTTCTTGTTCAGGGGGCAAATGTGAGCCATAGTCACTAGCGACCAGCAAGCATGCTGAGAGCCATTTCCCCACTGAGTACAGCAACATGGATGATTTAAACACATTCTAAAAAAGGGTTCATTTGGGTGCTTTATGATTTCTACCACAGTCCCAGACATTCAGCTTCTTCTATAGAGACACTAAAATTCTCCAAGGTTTGTAGATTCCAAACATTATTTTCAGAGAGTTATATGCTTTTTAAAATGCTGAGTTACAATTTCAACTTTAAATATACTATAAGCACTGGTATTTTTAATATCAATAAATTTACATTTTTAATAGAATAGAAAGGTTTTTTATTAACAATAATTGACACAAATAAAAATCACTTATGATCAAGCTCCAACATTTTTTTACAGCTTCCTGAATAAAATTTTTTCAGTTAATTCTTTAATCAAGCATTTTATTAAAGTTTTTCAACCATACATAAAAGTTTTGGGGGCTGGAGAGATGGCTCAGAGGTTATGAGCACTGACTGCTCTTCCAGAGGTCCTGAGTTCAATTCCCAGCAACCACATGGTGGCTCACAACCATCTGTAATGAGATCTGGCGCCCTCTTCTGGCCTGCAGTCATACATGCTGTATACATAATAAATAAATCTTAAAAAAAAAAAAAAGTGGTACATGAAAAAAAAAAGTTTTAAGACTAATATTCTGATTTCCTGTATTTCCACCACTTAGATTCAGAAGCTAATTAATGTTATTACTGTATGTCTTAGTTGGGGTTACTATCGCTGTGATGAAACACCATGAACAAAGCAACTTGGGGAGGAAAAAGGTTATTCAGCTTACACTTCCATATCACTGTTTATCATCAAAGGAAGTCAGGATAGGGCAGCAACATGGAGGCAGGAGCTGATGCAGAGGCCATGGTTGGGGTGCTGCTTACTGGCTTGTTCCTCGTGGCTTGATTAGCTTACTTTCTTATAGAACCCAGGACCATCAGCCTAGAGATGGCACCACAAAATGTCTTACAGGCTTGATACAGCAGGATTCTATGGAGGTATTTTCTTAATTGAAGTTTCCTCCTCTCAGATGACACAAAATCACTCAGTAGACTATATTATGCTATATTTGCACAAACATGTGCACAGGATTATGATGTATACCTTTATTTGAAAGTAAACTGCAAAACTCTTGAAATTTAACACTGAACATTTCAAACACTAAGCATTTCCTTAAGTTTAGCACAGTTCCCAGTATAAATCCAATGCCATTATTATGCTAAGAACATTAACAAGAACTTCCTAATCATGTTCAATTTCTAGTACACAGAAACTTTATAATCATTGCCTGCTGTAGAATAATCCTCTCATACACTGTAAAGATTTGTCACTCTTTATTGGTTTAAAAAATGCTAATTTGCCAGTATCCAGACAGGAAGTATATGTGAGTTGGCCAAGCTAAGGATGATGGGAAAGACAAGGGCAGAATCAGAGATATGACAGCCAGTTGCCCAGCACTCAGGACGTGTTAAAAAAAAAAAAAAAGAGGTAACAAGCCATGAGCCACGTCACAAAGCAAAAATAGAAATATGGGTTAATTTAAGTGTAATAGTTAGATAGTAACAAGCCTGAGCTATTATTGGACAAGCATTTATAAATAATATTAAGTCTCTGTGGTAATTTGGAAGCAGCTGCCAGGATGGGGAGTGGGCAGTCTAGATAGGAAATGCCCATTTATAATTGCCCTCACAGCTTCTTGGACTTACTCTATAAGCAGTATATATATATATATTCCTCTAAACATTAAATCAGTTCAATGTTTTCACTGAAATTCAAGTATTTACTGGGAATAACTGACCACAAGTCACTCAATTCAGATGGTGAATAAAATATGTGGAGTGATATTTGATCTATCTAAGAAACCTGCAGTAAATCTTTCTAAAAGGTAACAAAGAGAAATTAGTTTACCACAACCACATGTGGCTGGTAGGATGACAATAGAGGAAAAAGAAGCATGGGCCAGAGAAGG